GGGTGGCAATTAAAATGCATGCGGAAATATTCAAAAGTAAGCTACTGCGTTGCCAAACATGCTATTAGCAAATGGCACATCCACACTATCCAACCAACGCAATAGTGGATTTGCAAGGTGATGCATTTTCACACTTCCGCATATTGAGTTTGCACTCCCTTCAGCACTTTGCCCTTGTACCACATGATTGGTGCCTGATAATGTGAAAAGCACAGTGAGATCAGGTACATAGGCTTTTATTTAGAAATTGCTGCACGCAATCAGCACCACCGTTACATATTTCGTGTTAAAGGAGTAAAGCAGTAGAGGAGAGCTTGTGCAATGTCAGCCGCCTCCTCTACCTCCATGCAATTGGGAGGCTTCTTCACCAGCGCCGGTGTCAGGAGAGGCAGCCCCATTAGTGAGTTGCGTCTACCATGGATACCACCATCCCCACGACTTCCCACATTGCGGCATCACTACAGACGACCATGCATACGGCATCCCACATTGTGGCCACACCAATGATGACCATGCACTCTTCTCACCACACTGTGAACCCTGTATGACAACAGTCCACGGTGCCCACTTCCACGGATACGAACACGGCCAGCTCGCGAATTCCATTTCTCTAACTATCTCCTTGCTTCCTTTGATACGCACTTGCCTGATCAGATGTGTCGCCTTTTATACCCATCTCATCGTCTCTACACTCCTTACGTGACAGTCCCACTCCACGTGATGCTTGCGCTCCATGTACTTTCGGTCCCGCATTAGTACTTGCCGCACGACACAATCACATTAGTGATGCCGACATCATGAACTGCTTGCAGCTAAAGAGATGTTGTAACAGACGACTGGAGATATCAGGTGAGTAGATAGCGGAAATGCACAGCACGAGAATGGAAACCAGTGTTGTGCAAACCCAGCACTAAATGTCTTGAATTGTGCTGCAGAGCTGTTGCATGTATGTTTATTTGAACGCAAACGTGTAGGCAGTGTATGGGTGAATAGGGATGTTTTACTAATTTATTCACTTGAATCACTGCCAAAATTCTTCACCCGGTGCTGTCTCTACCTCCAATCTCAACCCTCACTCTGGCGGTTTAGTGTAAGAAAGTGATGATGTGATGACTTGATGACTGTTAGAAGTAGTTGACTACCTAGCCCCCACACTAACCCCTATACCCATTCACCCACCCAAACAGCCAATACTTGTGTAATTAAT